AGAGGTTACCAGTGCATGTACCACAGTTTTGAGGTCCCTAATCTTCTTTGTGTTTTAATTATGCTGTAACTCACCCCGATTGCTGAGCAGAGGGGTGGGCTAGAAATAAAAATTATTATTATTATTATTATTATTATTATTATTATTATTATTATTATTATTATATTATTATTATAATCTCTAGGAAAGGGTGCAGTTGGCGTATCAGCTGAAGCTAATAGCAGGTGCTCCTGACCACCGCATTCACCTGATTTGTCATCTGAAGTGATGGATCTATAGGAAATATTTAAACAGCTCTCCTTATAGCACCGTGGAAGATGACCAATTTCAGCTGTGAAATTGGATGAGAAAAGCATCTCCCTCTCCCTTCTGGCAAAACCTTTCCTATACAATAATAGATGCCAGGGTGTACAGCAGACACCTTTTTACTATGGGATAAGCATTTATACCACCTGTATTCAGTGCTGCGGTTGCCTTTATTTTTTGTACAGTTGCTTCTCTGTATCCACAGAGCCGTCTATGGATTGAAAATATTAAAAATATTTTTTAACACAAAAAATATTGATTTTTGCTATTTTACAAAAAGGTCACCATTTTACTACCCTATTGAATATACAGTAATTGGACTTTGTAATTCACAAATTTTGGTATCCATGGGGGTTCTGGAATCAAACCCAGCAGATATTAAGGACCTACTTGTATAAGGTTACAAAAAAGCTGGTATCCTATCACTCAGTAGGTTGTACAAGTGCTGTGGAAATTTCAAATCATGGGTGCCTCAATTTGTAATTCGAAAAGTTTTGTGGCATACCTGGAAAGATGCAGGAGGCCTTGTGAGCTGGTGTTTGGAATAAAGTTACTGCAACTGTTCTTGTATACTTATATTGCTGCCTGCTTTCCAGTTTAGCAAGCCAACTCTGCATGAGACCAAGATATATAGGCTTGTGATAAACAAAGAAGTACAAATAAACTGTAGTCCATGTTAGTGGACTATGCTGGTCTCCTTTTGTAGTGCTCTTGCAAGAAGAAACAGCAGGTTTAACTACTGGTTCAAGTTCCAAATATTACCTTATCAGGTCTAGGAAGTAAGAAATCAAGGAGCTGAACAATCTCAACAGCATTACAGGAAGCTCCTATGAAAGAAAGGAATGGAAGAGAACAGCCACAAAATTTAAAAATTCTTGCTTCTGGCAAGAATAGTCTACTACCCGTATAGACGTTTTGCTGTTGTTAACCACTCTTGAGTCAATCTCAAGTCATGGCGACCCTGTGGATGAGACACCTCCAAGACTCCTCCACTATTCTTCTAAACTCTTGCAGATTCATACTTTGTCCCTAATCCAGATAGATAAGAAAACCTCCACTGAGTGTCTTAAACTGGGATATTTTCTGACACCAATGAGAATTTAATGTACTAGAGCAGGTAGGCAACCTTTTTGAGCCGGGGGCCGGGTTGCTGTCCCTCAAACAATTGGGGGGGCTGAAGCACCAAAAATAAATAAATAAATAAATAAATATTTTTTTAAAAAAATAAAATAAAATATGCATGCACACTCTCTCAGCCCCAGAAAAGCCATGGCAAAACCCCTGTGGAGATTTTGCCAAGAAAACCCCAAGAACAAGTAATAACAACAATAATCAATATCATGGTGGCGGGCGGCGGCGGCGGCGGCAGGACTGGCCTGGGGCCAGTCCAAAGGCTTCGGGGGGCAGCATCCCACCCTCGGGCCTTAGGTTACCTACCCCTGTACTAGAAGGTATATATCGCTATGTTTCCATAGGTGCATTTGTGGGTGAGAAAAAAAGGCATATTCCAAAATACCCAATCACTCAAAGCCAGAAAACACATCTTGATATGTAGTGGAACATTTGTTCTCAGTAGATGTCAGCTCTCCTTTGTTTGTTTGTTTTTTAAAAAGTAACCAAGATATATGCAGAATAGACCTGTTGCAACACAGATGCAAGTTTTGTTCCAGACACTTTTTGCCAGTGGCCATGACTCTTGAGGTGACCACATCGTAAAACACCCACTTTGCAGGTCTAATTCTGGGTGAATTTTGCAGCAAGTGTGGATGAAGCCCAAAAAACCAATTGCACAGAAAAACGAAGCAGTAATTCTTTCTCCTGCTTAGTTGTTTTTCATGGCATAGAAAATCTTAGCTTGGGAATGTAGCATAATGGCTAAAAAGGCCATGATCCAGCCCATGGACCAAACTGGCTCCAAAGAAGCACACTGTGGGCTGCAAATTGTGTCCAAATAGTCCAAAATTGTGCTTGTGATCAAGATGCTGGCTGGGAGTACAAATTGCTTCACCTGTCATTTGCATTTCTTCATCAGTGAAGACCAGGTGAATTTCACCCTTGAGAATTTAGCTCAGTCTGAGCTGAGATCATGGAAAAAAAGGAGTGGAGCTTGGGCAGAGGAGGCCTTTGCAGTCTGTACTAATGTCTTTGCAAGAGCCAGCGTAATGTAGTTGTTTGAGCATTTGACCAGGACTGGGTGGCCTTGAGCAAGTCACACTCTCCCAGCCTCAGAGGATGGCAATGGCAAAAGCCCCTCTGAAAAAAAACTTGCAAGAAAACCCCATGATAGGGTTGTCATAAATTGGGAACGACTTGAAGATACACAACCACAACAGCCTGATGCCTTTGCAGTTTGACCTAAGGCCTTCACCATTCAGATGATGACCCATGGGCAAAGATACCCCTTCCGATTCCCTTTGTTAACAAATAAAATAAAATAAAAATTAAAGCACAGCTCAAGGGCTATATGGTTCAGGATTTATCTGACTGAGCCAAGCCACTCCTCACATCAACATAATGATATTGACATGTCTTCCTCAGAACTGTTGTAGGAATTCTGCCACAGAATTGTAGGGAAGCATCTTTTGGATTCTGGATTCCATTGATTTGTCAACAGGCTTGGCAAGTTCACCTTGACAGATGAGATATTTTTTACTAGTGCACAGAAGAGTAACAAAATTATAAATATAGAACTAAAGGAGAAGAGTAAGACCCAAAATACATGCTTCCAATGTTAGGTGGTATGAAATGAACTGTCTTGTTCAGTTAATAGATTGCTCTCATTAATAACAATTTATTTAAATCCCACAGAGTTGCATCCTCTTCTCAGCAAGATCAGGCAATCAGTAGAGAAACCACTCACTGAGGGGGGTTGCAGACTGCCAGAAATAGTGCAAATTGAGTCCACCTTTAGGGTTAGGGTTAGTGCTAGGGAATCATGGGAATTATTTTTTTCTGAGATATTGAGCCTTCTCTGTCAGAGAGCTCTGGTGCCACAATAAAATACAGTTCCCATGATTCCCTAACCCTAACCCTACCCCTAAAAGTGGACTCAATTTGCACTATTTCTGGCAGTCTGCAACCCCCCTGAGTTTCAATTACTGTAATAATGGTAGCTATTAAAGTACCTCTAAAAGAAAAGAAAAATAAAATCCCATAAGTTCTAATTTGTATTTATAAAGCTGGCTTCGTTAATGTTATCTTTCCTATAATTGCACATTTTCTCACTTATAAGTACATTATTCATAGGTCTTTTGCTGTTATGAGTCACTGTGTGAGGACAGTGAGATCAGGAAATTAGGTACACATGTATCCTCAAAAATATGTACAAAAATAGATTTTTAAAAAACATGCACATATGCAGTAAGATCTATGCAGTACGTAAGTACTGCTCTGAATACTTGATCTTAGCAATTAAGTTGCTTTGCAGCCTGTTCTTGGGAAGTCTACAAATTCACATGAATTCTAGGTGTAATGAAAAAGCCTTCTGTAAATTTACTAAGAAAAATATTCTTTTCAAGTCAATAAGCCCATTAACTTTATTTTACTGGTGAGCAGCGGATCACACACACACACACACAGAGTTAAACTCAAGATACAGTGGGCCCTTGGTATCCATTGAGGTTTGGTTCCAAGACCCCTATGGTTACCAAAATTTGTAGATGCTCAAGTCCTATTAAATACACTGGATAGTAAAATGGTGTCCCTAATATAAAATGGCAAAATCAAGGTTTGCTTCTTGCGAATATATATATATGAATCCATGGATATAGCATCTGTGGATACAGAGGGCTGACTGTAATGAGTTTTTAAATGTAATGGGTTTTTAATGGGTTTGTTACAAGTGCCACAATCCTAAAACCACTTGTCTACAAATGACACATATAATGTTTGAATCATGAGTACCACCTGAATGATATACTTCCATTCACAAATAAAATGCATGAGCACTCCAAATTTTGAGGCATGGTTTACAGGTGGGACTGTACTCCCTTTAGTCATAAGATATTAACAATGACCAGTATTCTACATCAGCTACTTAATTAAGTAAACTATGTAACCTTTCCTGGCCTGACCCCACCAAATTGATAGAAACTTATTTTATAGAACTGTATGGGCTCATATATCAGATTTGTGCTATCTTCAGTGAATATTTGACCTTTCTTTGAATTTTTTTCAAATTGAATTGCCATATTTGAAACTGTCCAGCTCTCTTTCTGCAAGGCTCATGAATTGGTGTTCTCTTGTGCTCAGTGTGGGAAAGCTATGCTTCCATCATGATTTGGCTGAGTAAATATAAATCATAGCAGAACATTAATATGGACTGGTATTCTACATCAGCAGCTTAGTTAACTAATAGTATACTTAACTAACCTCTCCTGGCCCACCCCTCTCCTAAACCTGACAGAAACATCATTCACTCATGCTTTGACAGCCAGTAAATGGACTTTCTCGCCACGCAGCTGAAGTCCTGTAAAGTAGGTTGTGTGTGTGTATTAAAATTGTGGCAATAGTCTCATAACCATGACACAATCATGAGTACAGAAGAGTTTGTTCTGTATTCATGATTGCTTTATTTGCCTTCAAGTTGTTTCTGAGTTATGGTGACTCTATTATGGGTTTTCTTGGCAAGATTTATTCAGAGGAGATTTGCCATGGCCTTCCCCTGAGGCTGAGAGTCACCCAGTGATGTTTCATGGCTGAGCTGGGAATCAAAACTTGGCCTCTGGAGTTGTAGTCCAACACTCAAACCATTATGCCACACTGGCTCTACCTACCTTACCAGGCATCAGCTGCATGAGGAGAAGGCTCATTCTGCTGGTGATCAGAGTTCAGATAAATATCTACTGAGGATGCCACAAACTTGATACATAAGTCCAGACAGCTTTGTGATACCCAAGGTATATAGTTTATTAATTTAAATGCACTGCATACATACTTTTTTTAATTGAGACTGTTAAATATGAGTTTGATATAAGGTCGTCTATGATAGCAATTGAAAATAATGTTTGCATGTTAAAGTTTAGGACCATCAAACAGGGGGCCATTACACACAAAAAAAGGAGTTGGAATGCTATTTGAATAACTACTTTTAAAAACAGGCCTCTATATATTTTATCTGCAGACCTGGCACCCTCCTTGCAGAATATCCTTACTTATGTCAGCTTGGTCTTTTATGTGATAATGAACTCTAGATACCCTCTGCTCTTTCGTCCCTTTGATTAACTTGAGACTATAGGACTTCAGCAGAGCAGTGGAGGACAGGGGGTCATGGAGAGCTCTCATCCACAGGGGCAACCTGAGTTGAGATCAACTCAAGGGCAGGCGTTCATAAACCTGTGACTTCTGTTGGTTAAGGAATTATACTTTAAACTGTTTTAAAATCACACATAATTATTTTGAAGAAGTGATGAGTCAACTGTCTTTTTAGGAGATTGCAAAGCCAAGCCATTTCCACTTTGTCACACCAGAGCAGGAACATTCTTTCCTGATGAGAATATACTCTACAGCTTTTAATAATGCTAGTGGTCTTCATCCTTCTGTCCAAAGCACAAAGAAATGGCACTGATTTATATTTCAAAGCCAACAAGAATGAATGTTACACAATAGTTATTCTTCTTTTTAGATGTGTTAAATTTAGTTCAATCGCATGTGACAAGAACTTGTGCTTTTTCCTGGCATGGCCCAAGGATTAGACAGCAACTGCCTGAGATGTTTTTTGCACTTAAAGATGGCCTGTAGGTATTTTAAATAAAAGAAATATACTTGTATTCTTATTTTTTCCCCAAAATGTGGGCACACCTGGTAGTGGAGATGGTTAAAATTGATTTCCATTTGAGCTTATTTCAATGAAGAATAATGTATACTACCAACACAGTAACACTATCTCAGTCTTATCATACAAGTTTCTGTCATGATGAGTTTTTAAAATTGGGTAGAAATTAATGGTTTAATTTTAAAAAAAAAATAAAAGTACACTTTAGTACTTCTGAAGAGAAAACCAGCAATTTTGCTCCTCTTGTGAATTTTAATTCTTACAAACTAAAGAGTAAGAAGTAGTGAAGTCGAAGGCTTTCACAGCTAGCATCTATAGTTTTTTGTGAGTTTTTTGGGGCTATGAGGCCATGTTCTAGACTAATTTATTCCTGATGTTTCGTCTGCATCTGTGGCTGGCATCTTCAGAG